GTTGTGAGACAGGGCCAGTACAAGGTCTACTAAGAGACATTGGAAACAACAGAAGGCAAAGCTCAAAAGCTCTCAGTGATAGCAGCGTATGGAATTTTGGAAATGGATTCCCACTGTTCTTCTCTGTGCTAGAACTCTTAGTAGGAACATAAGATTTGCCACACTACATCACATTAGTGGTTCATCTAATCCAGCATAATGTCTCCATCAGGGGGCAGAATCAGATGTTTCAGAAGGTCTCTTTAAATCAGATGCTTACATACTGCAAAAAAAGGACTTGCTTAAATTATTCACAAGTATTTATTCCTTGAATTTACTAGGTGATAAGTTAATTGCTCCTTACTACATAGAATGTGTGATAAGACATACAAAACAGGGTTTGGCTCTAGATGCCATTATAAGGTGACATAATTTAAATGTCAGATGGATAAAGTACAGGGGAAATTGAACTAATGATGAGACATATACCCTGATAAAGATATGCATACGTAAGAGCAAAATAACTGAATATGTCCCTTAGAGGGGGGGGGGAGATCTGAAGGACTATTTAGGTAACGTTTAAGCAAATATTGATTTATTTGGCTTTTCAGTGGACCACCTCTGCTTTAAGATCTACTGAAATTAGTTTTCAATCAGCATTTCTATCAACAGTAAGAATTTCCATAATCTTTCTCTGGTTCAAATTCTGTTCTCAAGTTTTACAAGTGAAATTTTAAATAGCTCTACAGAAGTCCATGGAGTTTCTCTGGATTTACACCAGTTAAACTATGGATAGAATGTAACCCATATTGCACAATAATTTATACATTCTATAGAAATGAAATAAACTAGGAAAACAAACAGAAACAACAACACAGGTGAAAATGTACTACTATAGGAAGGAATTATTGGGGGAGAAAGGATTCCCAAGGAATTTTAGGCTTTGTTTAGGATTTGCAAGTGAAAACCTTTCATCTTGGCCTGTGTTACTAGAGGAATATAATGTTTAATAAGGCCATAGATTTCCTATGCAGTACTCACTTATATTCACAGGAGATACAGAAGGTATCTCTCTCACACTAGAAATAAGGTGTGACTGGGGTCCCAATGGGGGCTAGCTATGGTCACTCAATTAGGGTGAACTGCAAAGAATGGGGCAGCCAAACCCCAAAAAGCTAGTGGATATTCCAATACTTAGATTTACCAAGCCAGCATAAAACAGCTTCTTTATTACCTTACTGGTTACTCAGAAGTTCAAACAACACAGTTCGCTTAAAGTGATTCAGCCTGAGGCCTCCACCCAGATACCCACATCAAATATGATGAAAATTTCTGTAAATCTTATTTCATTGTATAAAAGAAAAGGGTCTACCAATCCCAAAGGATTGGAAACATTACCTCCCAGGTTATTGAATATTCCAGATCTTACCCACATACACGCTACACCCAATTCTGATTAACTAAACTAAAATTTATTAAAAAACAAAAGAGAGAGAGTCCGGTTAAAAGATCAATGTACATACAGACAAGAGTTCAATTCATTTAGGTGCAGATTCATAGCAGAGATAGTGAGCTTTGTAGCTGCAAAGAGTTCTTTCAGAAATAGTTCATAGTTTATAGTTCAATGTCCAAATCTCACATGCAGGGTGTACCAGCATAACTGGGATCTCAGTCTTGTGACTCAAACTTCCCCTGATGAAGCCTAAGCGGATCTGAGATGACAGAATCAGGACCCAAGGACCTTTTATACAATTTCATGTCCTCTTTGACAAGTTGGGATTTCCTCAGGGAACAAAAGGTAATTAGGATGACTTTGAAGGAGGTCCATCACCAGTACTTAGCTATACGAATTAACATAAGGCCATTTGCTCGTTCCTCCACCATTCACAGTACATTTCAAAGAGAGAGGAATGCAGAGATATCATGTGTTTACAATTCATTTAAATGATAGGATCTTCTTTTGACCTCTGATGATTAGAATACAGCATAGACAGGGACTGTAGATTACTGTAGAGCCTTCTCATACATATGTAAATACACAAAAACACGAACATTATTTCCCCACATGTCTTTTGAGGGTTATTTATTTTGCAGGATGTTTAACCCTTTCTAGCCATGCGTCACACAGGCATACATTTTTAATGGTGAGAGTAATTAACCATTGGAACAATTTACCAAGGGTCATGGTGGATTCTCCATCATGGCCAATTTTTAAACCAAAATTGGATGTTTTTCTAAAAGATCTGCTCTAGGAATTATTCTTGGGACAGTCTAAGGCCTGTGTTATACAGGACATCAGACTAGATGATCGCAATGGTCCCTTGTGGCCTTGGAATCTATAAGATTCCATTAGACCTACTTACAGCTAATTTACCCATGTGTAATGGGAGCCAAGCCAGTGCATTTAACATGCTCAGGACCTGTTTAAAATGTTGTAAGCGGGTAGAGTAGGGTGAGGGCTGTTTTAACATATACCTTCTTACACATGAGTAGAATGTAAGTATGTCTCAGGGAGTGCAAGAGATTCTGAACATAAAAGAAATCTAATTGATGCCACCTTAAATGTCGCCTCTGAATTTGGCCCACTGTCTATACCAGGATAAATGCCACCTTTGCCATTAGCACACCCATCCAGGAGCACAGAGAAGGCCCATCAGAACAATTTGTATTTTACGTGGCTTTTTCCGAGCAATGTACACAGAATTGATTGTACACAAAATTGTAGTCATTTTTGGTCAAAGACTGCAACAAGCACAAGAACGACAAAGATCATATTACTTTACTCTTAGCAGCAGTCCTAGTAGTAATATTGCTATTAGTTTGCCATGTTTTTTTCCTGGCTCTTTTTGAAATCCAAGTGGCATGGTCATTCTGTCAGCTGTGCACTTGGGACTCCGACTGAACTCAGGCGGGGAAAGGCTTGTGAGTGCCCAAGAAAGAACATTCCTGGGCACCAGAAATTCATTCCCATGAAAGAAAAGGATGACCCCAAACTTCACAATGTTCACAACCAACTGCAAAAACTTATGTGAACTTCACAATGTTCACAACCAACTTATTTCATGGATTTAGCTTTCCCTCAATAGCTCTTCACACACATATACAATCAACCTCAACCTCCTACATTCCTTCACAGGCAGAAAAAATCAACTGTCTGGTTAAATTTGCTCTGACAGGTTATGAAGGGAAAGTTTATATTTTGCAATGGTTATTATTTCTCTTAAATACTTGTGGTGCTCACATATCATGGTAATGAGGGCCATGTAAATAGATAGACAGATAGGAGTTGCATGAGAACAACTGATGAGATGATCAAGTCTAGCGTGTTAAATTGTACAAATTAAGAGATTATCAGAAAAAATGTTAGGAGAAATCAGTTTTTAATCTCTATTCATTCTGCTACCATAGCCATCACCATTTTTTATTTCATTCCACTGCTGTTTGAAAAGCAGATCAGTCTCATAAATGATGTACAGTTGCGTGCTGTGCTTTTAAACCGTGATGGCCCTACCTGCCTAAAGAAGCACCTGTTGAGAATTGTGATCAAAACTGAAGAGTGAGGCTGGCCCTTAGCTCACAATCATGGTAATACTTTAAGTGCCTGTTACCTTGTTTTCCACCAGCATGAGGGGAAGTAACTCCACTGAAGTCAATGGAGTTACAATGGTGTAGGACTGGTGTAAGTCATAGCAGAAGCAGGCTCTAACTTTCTACATTGAATAATCTGAGTGTTTAACACCAAAAAAATGGAGTCAAGTATCAGAGGGGTAGCCGTGTTAGTCTGAATCTGTAAAAAGCAACAGAGGCTCCTGTGGCACCTTTAAGACTAACAGAAGTATTGGGAGCATAAGCTTTCGTGGGTAAGCACCTCACTTCTTGCATCTGAGGAAGTGAGGTTCTTACCCACGAAAGCTTATGCTCCCAATACTTTCGTTAGTCTTAAAGGTGCCACAGGACCCTCTGTTGCTTTTTCAAAAAAATGGAGTTAGTCTAGAGGAGTATGAAAGGAGGTACTTAGCAATGTCTGTGGACCAGTTAGAATTATAAGGCAGTAAGTCCATAGCGTGTTAAACCTAGGCTGGCTCACAAGGCAGCATATTACAAGTAGCACCATATGGTTCTTGTGGTTTAAAAACATGTCTTTTGTCATGAGCAGGGATGCTCTCACTTCCACAAACTGTGCGGCCCTGAGACTTGGAAGATGCAGAGCTACCAGGAGGAGCTTATTTACGTGACATTCTCTCCCCTGTAGAGCTCTGCAAGTCTCACTCCCTGCCATGGAGCCACAGATTGTTTTTCATTGTGCCTACCACAGTGGGGTGACCTTTTCCCCTGACAGAGTAGGGTGTGGTGGTGCCGGCGTCCATGGCCTTCCAGGGCTTATATTGCCCAGAAGACAGCAGACATTTTCTGCAGATTGGGCAATGTGTTTTTCCATACTTGTATTTGAAAGGCTGACTTTTATGTTTATTTTGTAACCTCTGGAAGCTGTGCTGCACAATATGAGGCCATTTCCAGGAAAGGCTGAATTAGAAACTCACATATTTTTAATAACCCTAGCACATTTTTATCAGTTGCCAGATCATATGATTAAGATATGAAAGCTCCAGCTCTATCTTACATCCTCACTGCTATTTAAATAGATAATACGTTTTAAAATTGTGGTATTCATTCAATTTTCTGGGGGTTTTTTTGCTTTGGAAGGAAAATATGTTTTACGTGATATAAAATCCATCTTAAATTCAGTAAAGAGGTTAAGCAGAACTCCCAGAATACCACATACCTTACTTTGTGTGCTCAGGAAAAAAGTATGTGAGGGCCTGTTCCTACGTTGGAATGAACTCTTGCAAGCTGCTGAACGCCTGCGTCTCCACTGACTTCAGTAGAGTTTCAGGGTGCTTAGCATTTCCTAAGAGGAGTGCAGCAGAGATCCTTCATCTGCAAACTCAGTTTTTACTCAGCCTTTGGTCAGTCAAACACCCATTGGCTGCATTGAGAATTTTGGCTCAAAGTGTCACGTAATGGCCTCAGGATTTGATGCCATGGGAATTTTCAGTGCTTTGCTTTTAAAAGTAAGTAACTCACAATTAAAGATACAGTGGGTCTGATTCTCCTCTCACTCCAGCATAAGGGCCTGGTCTCATACCACTGAAAGTCTAGCTGGGGAAGGCACCTAAAATACTGGGGCTGACATAGTTCCACGAGTTTTTGGGCCGAGGATGGGATGCTGCCTCCTCTGGACAAAACCCAAAGCGTTGAACACCTGTGGTTCCCAGTGAACTGGTGGAGCTATATCAGTGCATTAAGTGCCCTCTGGATAGGTGGGACTTGTGATCCATCTCTAGGTGGTGATTCAGGGTACTGGTTCTGGAATAGGGTAACCAGATGTCCCAATATTAGGGACTTTGTCTTATATAGGCAACTATACTCCCATGCCGCCCCTCCTCCCCGCAGTGTCCTGATTTTTCACACTTGCTATTTGGTCACTTATCTAGAAGTTGTGTTAGTTGCTGGTTTTGTCAATAAAACCCCGCAGATATTTATGTTGCCGGAGGCAGGGAGTGTAGTGAATCATATCCATTGTTTGGGGTACCTGCCTCTTTCAGAGCCTCACTACTTTGTGCCCTTCTTCTATGGCTCCCTCTGGCTCTGAATGCCCAGAGAGTTCCCTTGGGGCAGTCATAAGCTCCTCCATTCTGTGTCATGCCAAGATACACATGTTCCTGTCATTACCCAGACCTGGATCTGTGATGTATCTGTTTCCAGGCTCACACAACAGAAGTCAATGGGAGTTTTCCCACTGACTTTAAGGGGAGCAGGATGGGGCCCTAAGTGAGAGAGAGGAGAAATCTCACCCAGTGTGCCTACATGGAGATGTTCATACCTAATGGGGAGCATTTCAGAAAGAAATGTGCTCATTAGTCATCCATTAGTCAAATCAAACATTTTGGATAAGAGGCTTATTACAACACAACAAACAGGCACAAAAACCACTGGAGGAAGTTCTGTATGTTAGGCAGCACACTCAGCATATGCTATTCAGCTACAGGCCAGCGTTAGGTGGGTTTAGACCAGGGGTGGGCAACCTACGGCCCACGGGCCACATCCGGCCCATGGAACCGTCCTGGCCGGCCCCTGAGCTCCTGGCCCGGGAGGCTCGCCCCGGCCCCTCCCTTGCTGTTCCCCCTCCCCCGCAGCCTCAACTCGCCCCACCGCCAGCACAATGCTCTGGGCAGTGGGGCTGTGAGCTCCAGGGGCAGCGCAGCTGCAAAGCCCGGCCTGAGCCGGTGCTCTGAGCTGTGTGGTTGCGGCGGCAGTGTGGCCCGGCTCCAGCCGGGCAGTGCGGCTGGAGCGCCGCCAGCCACCAGTGCTCCAGGCAGCGTGGTAAGGGGGCAGGGAGCAGGTGGGGTTTAATAGAGGGCAGGGGAGTTCGGGGTGGTGGTCAGGGGGTGGGGGTATGGATAGGGGTCGGAGTGGTCGGGCGGGAACAGGTGGTTGAATGGAGGCAGGGGTCCCGGGGGGACAGTCAGGAAGGAGGGGGGGTTGATGGGGCAGGGGTCCCCGGGGGGCAGTCAGGAAGGAGGGAGGGTTGGATGGTGCGGCAGGGGGCAGTAAGGGGCAGGGGTTCCAGGGGCTGTCAGGGGACAGGGAGAAGGGGTAGTTGGATGGGGCAGGGGTCCCTGGGGGCCGTCAGGAATGAAAGTAGGGGTTGGATTGGGCGGCAAGGGTCTGGGGGCAGTCAGGGGACAGGGAATGGGGTGTGTGGATGGGGCAGGTGTCCCAGAGGGGCCCTCAGGGAACAGGGGGGTTGGATGGGGCAGGAGTCCTGGGGGGGGGCAGATAGGAGGTGGAGGCCGGGCCATGACCCCCTCCCCTAACCGGCCCTCCATACAATCTACGAAACCCGATGTGGCCCTCAGGCCAAAAAGTTTGCCCGACCCTGGTTTAGACAGAGTCGCCATGGGTTTCTGTGGCCTGCCAACTGCCTTCACAGGCAGGAAATTCCAAAGCGGAAAGTCTCCACTCTCCTCCCTTCCACCATCCACCACATTAAATGGACTTTCATGTCATTCACCATTGGTGGAGGGTGTGTGTAATTCAGATAGTACAATGGGCGCAGATGGTCATACAGTATACAGCTACTGTAGATGGAGCAAAATCCTTTTTTTTTTTTCTTAAGTTTTGGGGGTCATTGCACCTGTCACTCAGGCTATTACCTGGGTGCCATCTTCAACTAGGCCCCCTAAGGCCTCACATTCAAGTACCGTATTTTCCGGCGTATAAGACGACTGGGCGTATAAGACGA